TAATTACAGTTCAATGTTATTACTGACATCTGATTATATTGATACTGCTGTAAAATGTTCATAAGTTGAATTCTGATCTTGATTTACTTCGTTGCGCGCGACTGATTTTGTATGTTTTGTCTGTTATTAAGCAAAAACTCTAGGCTCATCGGTGCGGGCCACCTTTAACGCGAAGACGCTAGTTTCGTTCAATTCCGATTTTTTTTTTTCATTTAGTGTTTCTTTAAGCAGCTTACTAAAGCAGGCCTGTACATTCGATTTCGGAAAACAAAAATCACGATTTTGATGCGAAATGAATTCGTCAGGCATGAAAATAAGACTCCCTTGACATCGACCCACAATTGTAATGCTTCAAAGTCATATCAAATTCTTAAAATCTTAAATTTAGTCTTAACGATTTCTCCTTTTTGAACATTCTCTTTTAGCAATGGCTTAAATTATTTAATGTTCATGTTTATCCAGGCTGAAAAAAAGCTTTATCGGGCTTCGACCTATTTCTCGATCTCGTCTGTAGCTGTTCAAAACATGACCCACAAAAATATATTATTTCACTGGTTGCAGAACGACTGCTGTTACTCTATGAATTCTTCATTATTTATCGATCAGAAAGCTCGCATCTCATCCACCAACAACATTCGGTTCCGCAGCGAATTCGACACCTCTGAAATCGATTAAATTGTTTTGTTCTTCGAAAATTATCGCGTATATGGGCCGGGTGCCCTTATCTCGAATTGCGAATAATGGAGAAGAGAGAAATGTGTCGAAGAGAAAAGTAAACTTTCCCCGGTGAATGAGTTTTAAAATGACTCAGAAGAAGACAACAGTGATATCTCAATAAAACCCTCCAAGACACATGAATTACCGGATTTTTTAAACAAAGTTTCGGAAAAAAATTCAATAACAAGATTTATCATGTACATAAGATATGCCTGCCGTGATTTATTTCATATTTACAATTTTACATTAATATGTTCACACAAAAACGAACCCCCGCTATCAATGGTTGATTTCACATCGCACTTTACTTTCGATCAATTTGAAATAAATACACGTATGCCTAAATTAGTAACTGCTTTAAAAGCCGGGGAAAAAAGTGGTCAGCACGAGTTTGAAACCAAGACAACAATCGTACTTCAGCTTTCTGCTTTCTGACGACAAGTTCCTTCAACACGTCTCACGTTTCGCAAAGACTCTATCGAAAACGTGTATTAATTCTATTCCTTAGGCGTTGCGAATCTCGATCGTTCAAGGTAAAATTGGTCACTGCGGGATGAGATCTTAAGATGCCCCAGAGCAAGACATCCATAGGATTTCTTTCGTTTCCAGTGGCTGCACTTATTAAAGTGATACAATCGTGATAACTGCCGCTCGTGATGTTGGTCTTCCGGTACACAGTTTGAGAGTAATATTATTGTAGACAAATCGTGATTCATTTTGTAAGGTATCTTGATTTCAAATAATACAAATTACTTCGGATAAACGGATCTATAGCTCTATTCAACATTTACAAAATCGTGAAAATAAAAAATCACGGGCACCGTACATTTTAGGAGTTTGCAACCTTTTAAATTATTGGTTATAGCACAGCCAAAATACGTGACGTTTTGGCATCGTTGTCTCACTGAAATGGATCGCAGCGATGTAAGTGACTTAAATTGAAATGAAAAACCCGGAGATGACAAAAATTGATAAAACGTATTTCCCCTTAAAATAGTCACGGTCTACTGACCACAAGGCTATCAAAATGCCTGTAAGTGACACTGTTTGGCGCAACTGCATGAGAGACATTTTGGCGGGTCGAATCAATGAAGGTGGTTTCCATTTTCATCCAGCGCGTGGCAGATGTCAAAAGTGATCCGTCCGGTCCGCTGGTCACGCGGTGATACTATATTGATTAATTGTTACCAGAAGCTTCCTGGTAAAGCCATGTCATTTCACCGTCAATATTCAGTAAGAGTTACTCCGAGATGAAATTACAATTGAATTTAGGAGAAATTTATTTCGAAACATTCTTGTTCTTCTCTTTTATATTGCAAAATGTAGGAATATCGTAATAATATTGATTCAAGTTCAATTTATCATTTATAGCAAATAAATTTTCTGTATTGTTGGGAAGACGGTCGGTGTATTAAACACATGTCATGTTGACATCTTTTCGATGATATGATTTTCAAGAAATCATACCAAATTGGGACACAAAGTGATCGGTTTCGTGTAATTATGACGCTAGGCAGGAGCTAAGGGCTATGGGTAATAGGTACCGTGCATGAAGGAAGAGGGCGCTATAACGTATGTATGTTGAGCTCACATTCATTGTGCTAGTCTACTTGCAACACCTACAGATTGCTCCTGTTTAAACGAATCTTATGTCAGGATCCAATATCACATGACCAAAACGAGAAGGATCAATCAATCAATGACGTGTATTAATATACGTAACCGATTTTCAATTCCCAAAAATATCGACCATTCTGATAAAATTGTGTTTAAGCGCAAAGTTTAACGCTGGTACTCATCACCGCTGGTATCCCATAATGCTACATCAAGTCATCAATGAAAACGAATACTCACAACATTGCTTTCAGTTGATAAAATCACAGTGTCCGGTGTCGTATTTATGGCTCTTATGGCGTCGACTGCAAACCAAACTCCGGCGACTCTTTGCCAGCACTTTGTTCTTTTTACGAAGCGTCACTGATCCGGGTGTGAACTCGGAAATTGCAATCACAGCTGGATACAATTAACACTTACACTCTCAAGACGTATCCGCTCATCCCCAATTCCTCGAAGAAAACACCTCCCAGTCTAACGTACGCCTACATCTCGTATAAATACCCGTGAAATCATAGATTTATGGTGATTGACTATAAAGGAATTACGAGTTGCATTATTGATTTTATCGCGTCGAAATATAAACCAGACAAGAACAACACGAATGTCAGACGCCTCTTGCGAAGCATTAGGAAAGCGAAACCGCGTCAACGCGCATAAATCGACCGTGAACAGAAAGCAAAATACGGGCGAGTCCCGGTTAAATTTCCTGCCTGTGATTGAGTTGGCGACACGGTACGGGAGAAACATATCGCAGCTCGCCTTGAATTGCTCCTTAGAGACAGTCAGGTTTTTTTGCTGTGTATCTTCGTCATGACACACAGCAAAAACTCAGTTAACAACATTTAATTTTTCATGATTACAAATTCAAGTCTGGTCGTCTAGCCAGCGACGCATTATGTCATTTTATATCAAGATGTGTCGGCTGTCTTGGTATTAAAGCTTGGCGAATGGCATGAAATCTAAACCTATCTTGAGTTGGTACAGAATCTTGCAACGTTATTACGAAAAGAATTACGATAACAGTTTTGATATTTTAAAGATAATTTCTGTCGTCGTGATTTAAGGAAGTAGTCACGGCATTTTCAGGTTCGTGGACTTTTAGAATTGGTGTTTGACTATTTCTTGTGTATTAAATATTACTTTAATATTTTGGTTGGGCATAACGAAGATTTTAACAAAATTGGGACGGCAAAAATGGATTAATGGGACGAAAATTCAATTATGCAATGGGCAAACATAACCGTGGCTATAAGCGCCCGGGCAACAATATTGTTCATGGGCGCATGCGCCTCAGATCAATCAATCAATCAATCAATCAAAAGAAATTTGTAAAGCGCCAAAATCAAAAAGTTTGCTCCAAAGGCGCTGATGGGGCACCAAAAAGTAGAAAAATTATTGATGGTTCACCTCCTGAAACAGGTGAGCTTTCAGGAGTGTCTTGAATATGCAGTGAGGTGGTATCTCTAATGTATTCTGGAAGTTTGTTCCAGATTCTGGGGCCGTATACAGAAGATGATCTATCAGCAAAAGAGACACAATGGGTTCTGGGCTCAACAAAGTGTAAAGTGAACAGGAGGTTCATGATCGAAGTCGTCTCTGTTGAGAACTAATTTGAAGCATGAACTAAATACATATTAATACTCTCATATTAATACTCTCATCGTTTTGTCTTTTGAGAGATATTTTCAAGTTAAAATAATGTGTTCTCATTTGACCTGGATTGGAGATGAGACGTATTGACATAACAACTCTCACTGATATAGTGCATGATACGGCAATAAATAAGATCATTTGGCGCGATCATATCCCAAGATAAGACGCCCAAACGAGTAAAATCCAATTCGACATAAATGTCAGGTTTCCATGGCGGTGCAGATGAAAGGAATCTTTCCCGCCAAACTGATACAGTGCCCTTTTTTGGCGCGCTCGCTTCGATCACGTGTACACGGCGGTGTTTGCGCGCGTCTCCATTTATTTTCCGGAAAAGAGGGAAGTTTTAAGATGGTAATCAAGACGGAAAGCCCCGCGACACGAGCTGCCGTATGCTGAGTTATTCTCCTCACGTCTCAAAGTAACGCCTGAGATATTTGTGTGCCCCTGTTTTGTAGTTCAATCCCCTGTTTATTTTGCGGAAGGACGCCTCGGAAAATATGACGAAATGCACGGATTATTTTTAAAGGGGGGGGGGGGTCTAAGCATCAGTTCCATCCGCCACGCACGAATTGGCTCACTATTTACGACAAGTATCAGATATTGCTTTCCGATATTGCTATTCCTATATTTTTTCATGAGCAAAAAATAAAATCCATCCAAAGTGTTCCAATAGGGCCTACTTGACTGTACTAGAGATTCCAATTATAACCAAAACGAAGAGCGTCGAAAGCCGAAAGAGTTGTAACTCGAAAGGGGAAAAAAGGACATTTAAGCTGTCACTCTGTCTGTAAACAGATACGGCTCTTTTGACACAAAATTGCACTTGTTGAATAACACGTGAAGCGCCTAGCTACGTGTGCCTTGCATTGCAATTGAGCAAAACCGATGAAGCAAGTCTTCAATTATTGTAAAGATATTCGCTTCTTTGTTACAGAAATGTTTAATTTGCATTCTTAAGTGAATTACTCAAGCGTGCGTTAACACCCTGCGCTGCAAATTAGCGGTGTATACGTTTGCACGTGGGTAGAGATTCCTTAGCACATCGATCGACACTACTCAGCGCAGTATAGCATGATACGAAATGGAGGGCAGAGTTACTCCTTCTTGAACATTTCTCTCGTAACTTTGGCCGTCTCGTCTTCGATAGCTAGGCGTCCATCTGTATAGCTCAGCCTGTGCTCTGATGCCGTAAGTTAATCGAATGTTGCTTGGTTGGCCGTAATCAGTGGAAATTTAACTCATTCTGTCATTCTGGCCATTAAAATTTGTCATGAGAAAACTCCACACCACAGACAAAAAGCTGCATTTAAAGTTTTTGGACAACGGTTTGGGAACGTGTTTCAAGAGTCCTTAGGGCATCTTCAGTGCATTTTTTTTTAAAACAATTTCATTTTCAGCCGAAATTGAACACAAGAAACTTACTTTTTTAAATTTCAATTTGGGCACAAAATGAATTTTCTGCAAACGACTCATCAACACTGTTTGATGTTATATATGGTAGAGAAACATTCTTTATTACTTTTGAACGGATTTTTAGCATATTTTTTTGCAAATATAGCAAGGATTTATTGTGGATAAAAAAAATAATATTTTCACTCAATCTTTACCATTTTCCTGAACGCCGTACTTTTTTTGATGGCACAATCATTGGTGAGAGAGAGTTTGGAATGTGTTTTAAGGCCCCTCCGGCATCTTTCGTGCAAATTTTGAACAACTTCATTTTTCAGCCAAAATTTAAAAAAAATCGTGCAAGGGGTTACCAAGACAGGGCTCTGTAGTGCTCTGAAACGTGCAAAACTAAATCAGGCCCACTTTACTCACACTTTGGCCAGCAAATTTCTCCAAAAATTCCACTGGGGCAAAGAAAATGTCCTCAGTATTTCACCAACCAAGTTTGCAGACTCAATTCAATTTTTAAAGGAGACTTTTCTTCAATACTTTGCACATGAGAGGAAAGTCAAGTGATTCCAAAATGGGGCTAAAGACTAGACTGGTACATGTCCAACCATGGTCCAACTATTTGAAAAGACTGACCTCTTCATTTCAGTGTCAGTAGTCTGGTGGCTTGACTATGGAGAAATGTGTAGTAAACTGAGACTAGATCCCGCTTCATGCCACATGTTTCGTAAATTCTTTTGGCATGGTTGATTGATGCAGTACTGAAGCTGTGTTGGACTGGTTGTTTTAGGTGCCAGTCTATTTTCTTGTTTTGTATGTTTTCAATACCTTAAGTTTTTGGACTCTCATACACAGTATTGAGAGTCCCAAATTTTCGGACTAGGGGTTACCCTTAGGCCAAAAAAAAAAGTCTCCGGTTTCTGGTATGCGCGCGCGTCGCCGTAGCCATGCGCGTCGGCAAAATGAAAAAAAAAATTTTCAATGAAAGATGATGTCTCAAAACCGCCAAACTCACTGGTTTGACTGGAATTCTGCTGCTGCACAGTTTTAACGTGTGTTTATAGATTGGGTTGTGGTCGAGAATAAGATTTATGTGGCCTCTCTGGACTCCCATATATTTGCACTAAGTTTAGTCGGGTACCATTTGCAGTCATCAGCCGATATTTGAAGCAAAAAAGTCAGGTTAAAAAAAGAAAAGAAAAGCCGCGTCGCCGCACCACTTCTTGGGCAAGCTCCATACCAGATACCGGAGACTTTTTTTTGGCCTTAGCCTACATTTTTTGGTCAAAATTTGACTTTTCTGGAAACAACTCAGAAACACTCTAAGATGCACGATTAACATATTTTAATCCTTCAGGAGGCATTTTTCCGGATAATTGGGCTATTATGAAGGATTTTTTAACACAAAAAAATCAATCAATTTTTCTCGCTCAACATGCTCAACATTTCACTCAATTTTTGAATTTAAAATTTTACCAAAAATTGACATCTCTGAAAACAACTAAAAACTCTTCTGGATATCGATACGCGATAATCATAATTCTATCACCTTTGAGATATTTTTGACAGTTATGAAATATTCACAGAGAAAAATATTTAGAAGTTGGTTTTGAAAAATAATTATCTTCGATGCCCTGTGGTGAAAAAACATTATTTATCCTATACAATATCGAAGAAGGAACCGCGAATTTTTACGTCTAATATAAAAACAATTAGAAGATGTAGAAGAGCGCATGCGCGCTAACTTGAACTCAGCAACTCTGCAGAGGACTACGAAAAAGGAATAAGGCCCTGAAATGGCGCTATTTTGCAATGGAGCGTAGGCATCCGTTTTTTAAGTGGCGATGGCCTTTCATTATGTTATTTTTGTATTATTATTATTATTATAACTTTTTGACAAAGTCATGGGTTGTGGAAAGACTGTACAGCCAATCTTAAACCACTTCCTGTAAAAAATACTATAAACTTAAACACAAAAGTGATCAGTTAAAGAGAAAAACTTGAAGTAATCATGTAAACTGTAAAACAAAAAGGATAATATAAATTTTTATAAATTCTTATAAAAATGATAATATTTGAAATTTAACGTATAAGAAGAAAAAAAGTTAAATTAACATGATAAAATCTATGACCAACAAAAAAAAAAACCCAAGAAAGGTAAAATAGAGGCGAGGACAAACATTACACACAATGATTAAACGTTAAAAAAGTACATATAAATTTAAAAGTGGGGCAAAAAAACCTCAACCAACTGGCCAACAAAAACAAAGGAGATAAAATAGAGTAAAAGACATAAAAAAAATTGCCATGACATTTTCTTCTAAAAAGTCATTGGATACCCCCCCCCAGGACAACTGAACGGAAAATAAAAGATGATGAAATAAATTTTTAGTTTGTGTATGTCTCAATTACCTTGGAGAGTTGTATTTTAATAAATTGTGAAGTGCGTGTAATTATCACTGAGGTACATGTATATATGGAAGTTTATTTACTGGTCAACACTACACCCCCGCAGCGCATGCGCGCAGACTTAACTTTATTTTTAAGAACCTTGATATAAGATGTGCGCATGCGCGCCAACTTAGTCAGAATCAGTCTACTTCAGACTGGTTCTGACTTTATTTTTTTTTTTAATTGAGCAATTCCAATCCGTACCTTATATATTAGTTCCAATTACTTTTAGTAAGAAGAGCGCGATGGCCTAGTGGAAGGCACCCTAGCGCTCAACCGAAAGGTTGTGGGTTCGAATCCCAGCGAATCCCAGTTGGGATTTTTACTTCTTTTTGATTTATACTTACTTATATTAAAAAGAGTAAAATTCTATTTATTTTATTTTATTTTATATAGTTGGGGTAGACGAGCGATACAGAACTCGGACCAGCCGCAGGTTTCCCTGCAGCCAGTCCGGGTTGCCGCGGCCAGGACTCGAACCAGGGGCACCGGCTTGCCCGCTGGGACCTCTACCGGGTGCGCTATCTGGGTCCCCCCGTTGAAACTACACTTCCAATAATTAAAACCCTTAGAATCAACTACAGAAATCGAAAATAAAATACGGCCCCGAGATTCGAACCCGGGTCTCCAGATCAGAAGTTCCGTGCCTTACCGCCAGGCCACCGGCACTTCTGAGATTCGAATTTTGAATTTTAAATATATATAACATGGATTCGTACTTAGTAATAAATCAGAAATTTGGATATCTGGCTGGGGATTTGCACCCGTGATCTGATCAACGTTGCTAATTTTTATCAAACTTGTTAGTGCTGAAATATATATTTTTAAAATATTATTAACGTTTAAATAAACTTGCTTACGTGATGCCTCATGGCGAGTAGAAAACAACTTCCGAAGTCGTACGGTATTGGTGATGATTTTGTTCTGCCCCACTGGCGAAGCCGAGGTACCGTTTCTGCCATGTCCTTCAAGTTGTTGATGCCCTCCGACTAACTCAAGATCAACTCGGCACATTTCTTCAGTCTTGGTATATATTTTTGTCTTGGAATACCCAGCAAGTAATTTTACTACTCTATAATTTTGGACATTTTACGTCATTATCAAGATAGGGTAAAATACTGGAAATCTTGTCAATGGGATATCTTACAATAATTTTGCGGTGCCAAATACAGACCTATTTATGTAAAACAAATTATGTGTGACTGTCTTTAAAAAAAAATAATTATCCTAAAACTGGGCTTCAGACCGGGTTGGTCTTGGGATCATCTAGAAGCCTTTTGATGTCACTTTCTTTAGGTAAAGGTAATTGTCAATGGTAGGGGGAAAATACCTCAAGAAATACTTAAATTAACTTCAAGTTTGAAACGATCTCCAGTATTTGACCATTATCAAAATAACCTGAATCAAGATTTATGACAAGACATTTTATGACCTAGGGGTCTGTCATTGTGCAGGGTTGCAGAGACACGCCCTATTGGCGAGTGTTTTTGTTTCATTTTTTTTCTTCTCCTTTGCAGCCCTGCACTGTCCACGTTCTGTCTTTCGTGTGTAGTGTTTACTTGGTTTCTTATTGTTTGTATATCCTTTTGTCTTAATATCAAATTTTATGTATTTATTGTAATTGTGTGTTTATATGTCAATTTGCCGGATAAAATATTATTATTATTATTATTATTATTATTATGTCTGAAAGTAACGATGATCCATTTCCGATAAAAATCTGTTGTAATACCAAATAAAAACTGGGGAAATAAAAAGTGGTACCAACTTGAGCGTATAGATGGCTGTGCATTACGGTTTCGATATAAATCCACATAGTCGTCTCATCGGACTGGTTTAATTATTATTTTGAAAACTTTGAAACACTATGTCTGGCTCCGAAATTCTCTACTCCGATGCACTTTACTTAAACAAATAGTCCCATCCTGGCTCATTGCCTTAAAAAAGCAAAATTCCATCATTTCTGCGGCTCTCTCATCAGACCTCTGAAACTTGAGAGGAACAAAATTATGCGAAGGTCGTTATGGTGTACATTTCCAAGAATCAATGAATAAAAGATCGATTCTAAATTCACTTTCGTTAGTTCAAGTGTTCGGTATCGAGTAATTCACAAAAAAACTGAGATGAGGTATATGATACTGAAGACAACGTGTTTGAGAATCGAATTTCAAAACTGTTTACAATTACATTGATCATTGAATTTTGTGACACTAAAGTGGTGTTGATACAAAAATAATTGTGGCTGAAATAATCCACGGCAAAATTACGTTTGTCGTCTTTGCATATGTTTCATGTCTGACATATCGAAGAATTTGTAAAATTGACAAAGATTGTAGCGGAACCCGCGGCTCTGCAAGAACGATTTCGATAAATCAAGATATCACGTTACATAATTACATTAGGCGTCAGAACATACTCTTTCAGGTTTCCTTGAACAAATCTCATTAAAATAGTCCCATTCTGCCTCATTAGATGCCCGTACATTCTTGAGACATCACGCACACAATGAAACCTCCAAAAGTCCGTTGCATCTGAACCTAGACTGACAATCCACCAACAAAACACCGTCTTCACTTCACCGAGGAACAGACAATCTCCCCAAACCGCCATGGGGCTCACACAGCCTCACGTCCCGCGTTGGTAGTGTCAAGACACGGTAGTATTAATTGGTTTTGAAGACGGCACAGTCCTTGCCTCGCTAAGTCGACCGCCTCCACATCCACAACCACAAGGACCTCGCTCTACTCTCTTTTGTAATTAGTTTGTCTGAAGGCACTGGGATTTCTTTGAAGATGTGTTTTTGCCGTCTCTGGCGCTGCTCTTTCCGCTGGCTAGGAATAACAGGCTAATTTTAAGAGTGTTTGGGGCGGTAAAAGTGATGGGTTCATCAGGTACTACAGTTGAGCAGGTGTTGGGAGGAAATGTTGGGCCTTTGTCGGCTTAAGTGGAGAGGATTTAGACGGTAAAGCTGTAGATTTTCACATTTTTTTCAACAGGTTTCCCCAACTCAATGCGTTTAAACTTTACAAAGATATTGAGAAAATACCATTAGTTTTCAAGCTGGAAAAACAAGAATGGATAAACATCAAAATAACTTTTTTTCTACACACATGCAGTGATGCAGATTACACCCATTTATATTAAACCAGGAACCATAAACAGTAACTTCCAAATATGACCTTTTGCTTTCAACACACTATAACCAGCAGTTGTTCGGTGTCACGTTCACAAGTTACCCACAAAATCGAACCAATCTTGAGGCTTTGAGGTGCCGCTAGGCACTCATCATGACGGATGGATTTCGTTCTACTTCCGCGGTAAATGTTCTTCAGTTAATGTAAAACCAAACATAGCAATCAAACCCCCTCCCCCTCCGGAATAGCACACATCACCTAATTTATCACAAGAAATAGAATATAATACAGTCAAGGCGAGCAAGAAAACCAATCTATTTATTTGCCTTAGGCTTAGCCAAGAATTGTTAGGGAATACAAAGGCAACAAAGTAAAGCATAAAAACCCAAATATCAACGCCTACGGTGCTTGCAGGTGAAAACGGAATGCATCATCATGCTGAGGAAAAAACGATTTTTGACGATGTTTTTCAAAATAAAAACGAAAAGCGCAAGGTCTCAAGAAATTTGATGTACTTAAGCGAACATTTAATGCAGAAATGATAACCTACATGTTTGTGTAGCTGTTTGTTTTACTTCAGTGCCTATTGTTTCTGTCATCGTAACCTTAATAGAAAACTTCAAGTCTGAACTCAGTTTTGTTTCTTGTAAATAAACTCACAAATTATTTTTTTTCCAATGATGGGATATAATTTTTACTGAACACAAAAAATCATATAAACAAGTAAGTATTTTTCAGACGATCTTTGAAACAACCATCAAAACAATAATGAAGGACAGGTATTACCAAAACTTTTAGTGTTTTAAAGACTGGTAAACGATTAAGTAAAAGGCAGAAGTTACAAATCGCTTGAACACAATATCTGTTTTTAAATCACAATAGCACCATTGATCGATTCAAAAATAATAATGCAAACACAATGAGCGTTTTCATTATCATATAAAGTCCCTTAAAAAAAACAAAAAATATATATATTTTAAGAGTAAAGAAATAAAACAAATATGACAACTTGCTTACCAGAAAACAGGGAGATCAAAAAACACTTTTAATTAAAGGCTTCGGTCACTCTTTCAGATTTATCTCAGAATCAATTTTAAAAGAAAAAAGTTTTAACTGTTTATTTTTGTTCCTGATACCATTTTTTCTTGTGAAGGCTTTTCCACCATCAGCGGAAAAGGCACTGTTTTTCTTGTGATTTTTTTCTTTTCATCTTCTCCCTTGTTCTTCTATCCCAAATCCCATATACTTTGAAAATCTTTCATTTTCAGGGTCAGTTTTGACAATCAACAGACTTCAATCTTGATGAGACATGTCATAAACTAAGACCCCATTCTGCATGGACAAGTGAGGTCATGATGAAGTCATCTTAAAGGTGCATTTTTCAATAGAGAAAGTCTACAAGGCCGATTAGGTTGAAACTTTGTACATGTCTTTGAGCTCATCATGTAATTTTTTCCATTGATTTTTTTCATTTTTGGTTTTTATTCTTATATGCATATCATACGATTCTTTTTCTAAGACGTTTGGAAGGTTATAGATATGCAAATTATTTTTAGAAACTTGTGACATCCTGAATGTGAATAAAAAAACAAACTATTTTTTTCAACTTTCCTTAACCCTTTTTATTTTATCTGATATTTTTTTCGAGTAACCACAGAATGCAAAAAGATAACAATGAACAAAGAAGACAGAATTTTTGTTTCCACTATCAGAAATGATTGTCTACCTTTGTATCAGGCATCAATAGGCACAAGTCATTCATTTGGTTTGGGTCACCTGGAGTAGTCTACAGACCAGGCCGATGACTTTCTGAAAATCTGTGGAGTATTTGCAGAGTCATAAGTAAGGCAAGCTGGAGCACATCGTCACTAGGATGCAGTGTTGATTCCTTGGCAAGATGGTTGATCTTCTATTACTCTTTTATTTTCTCCTCACTGTGATAAAAAAAAACGAAAATAAAGTTTGAGACTTAATCAAGGTAAAATAACTATTTGTACCCTTGCTATTGTTTCACTGCGTATGTTCAGTGTATATGTTTATGTACATGTAGGGTTGACTGATAAGGTGGCATAAGGTAGAATGAGATGAGCTATACACTTTTGACTGATATTGTGTGCAGTTCAACTTGTCGAATGATTACACAAAAATTTTGAAGTGATTCTGTTTTTGGGGTGTTTTTTGTTTGTTTTCTGTTACAGATAATAAAACCTTGAAAGTCACCGGTTCCTGAGAATTAAACCTTGAAAATTGGCAAAAGGGAAACAAATCAGCCATCGTGTCGAAATGTCCCAGGTGTCAGCTCAGTTGGACCCCCAAGCTCCCTGCACCTGATTAACAACAGACTCGCACAACCTTGCAAGGGGCAATGTTGCCATTTTTTAGTTCATTTGTCTGATTTTTTCATTCAATAGAATTTTCCATTTTGTATAGCTCATCTCCTTCTACCTAATAGGCCACAAACTTATCAATCACCCCTCGTACAAGTATGTTGGCTTCAATAACTTCCAAATTATGATAATTATTTATTAAAAGAAATACAATTTTGAAAATCCACATACATGTATGCATGTCATACACTGATTGATTACAGAAACAGATGTACAGAGGCAGTGTGACGACAATGGTGCCTAAAACCAAACTCCAAGAAAATGAAAATGTATTGGTGGTTGAAACTGACTTTGATGAATCTGTTAATAATTCCCTTGATTCAAGTAACTCTGTCCACCTTGTAAGGCTGGTGAAATCAATGCCAAAATAAACTACATCAAAAAGAAATATTGGCATCAGAATGATAAATCCACTGCAAGCAGTACACCTGTCATCTCCCTCAATGCCAATTATCTCAAGGATTCTTCCAAGACAATTCTTCATTTCATCAATTCCCCAAGAATTTCAAAAATCATTTTCGATTTCTCCACTGAAGTAATTTAACACACGGACTTAAAAATAACCTCAAATAATTGACTCTTGGGCCATTCTTACCTTGAAATAACTTTGGTTAGTGGTTGCTTAATATCTTTGCACTGACACATTTTTAAAATACCTTTTGAATGAATTAGCACATGTGTATGCAAGATCAGCACATTCACAGATAAAAGGTCTAGCATTTAAAGAATCCCATATCCTTCAAAAATTGTTTGTTTCAATATTTGGTATTTTTTAAGAGAAAATTTAATTTTTACAATTTCATCCAATTTAATTTGGTAAATGTAAAACAAAAACAGGAATTCAACTCAACTTAATTTTGCCATGTCAATTTACATACAAAAAATGACTACAACATTTCACTCATTACAAACTCTAGAAAACCAAAGGTACAAAATATGTCCTTCCATTTTTGTGATAAAGATGCCCCATCCTTTCTCACAAATCCCCTGCAATCATGTCATGCCTTAGTCCAACCTCAGAGGATCATTAAAAACAACATCGCTACCAGCGCAGAAAATTGTCTTCAAACATTGATAAACTGAAAAACACCTACAAACTTGAAGCCGTCCATCTCTCTATCCCTCCATGTCCAATAATGCACTGTAAAGTACATGTACATGTACTGTAAACTAATATTTGTGTTCGACATACGAGTCGTGGGTAAATGTCAACTTCAGTGAGTTAAGTCGCAGCGACTTCCCAAGGACATATTGATGATATTTTCATTTGAAAACTTAAAAAGAGTCGAGATGTACATGTACAGTCACGGAAATAGGCCAACTGACGATCAGTATCAATAAACGAATAAACTAATAAATTTAAAGGCTTAGGAGCCAATTCAGGATCTAGTTCACTGAAATGCTTACCCAAGCCATAATACTATTTAAAAAAAATTCAACATCCTAGATTTCCAGACAATGCAATTTTCAATGCAATGGATGTCACTCTAAATTCATCCTGTTTTTCCAAAGTAAAATCATCCTTTTGAGAGGAACAGGTAAAAAACACCCCCCTCCCTCCTCCCCAAACCCCAAGTAATTAGATTTCAACAGGAAACCCAATGACAATCCACAAATATTCCACGTCGGCAACAACTCAATCACCTTAATGAAACTACCAACCTGTCGGCCTTTACGGCACCAACAAACAGGAAGAAGGAAAAAGTCGGCTTTAATAACGAGACAATTTGTGCCCAGTGTGATCAAATTCTGAGACAGACAGGATTTTACGTGTTATCCTCAGCTAATCATCCCGAGCAGGTTTTCTATCCTAATTGCATTTGACGACAGTGAGTGGGTGGGTATGAATCTCATGACAAGCCATTACTGTCTAGTTCCCTGAAAATATATCACTGTCACAACAGCAACGTTTAAAATATTACCATCACCAGACCATTATTTGCATCTAATGTCAGAGTGGTGCCTTTGAGTCCAGTATTTAGGGCTATGACTTTTTTCCACCTAAAGTACTGATGTGTCTATCCATAGCCACAGACATTAACTGCCTTGTTTAGAAATGTATTGCCATATTCAAATTTTAATGGATACAATGGTGTTGTTAACAACTAGTTTTTTGCAACACAAAACACTGTATTTGATCTTTAAAAAGTACCAACGGGTCAATTGTAGGGGAAAAAAAAAATTTAAACTTTGTTTAATGTTTGAAATTTACCTTGCTTCAAAGTTGATGAGCCTCAACATGTGATAAATGTAGGGGAGGGAGATGTCATGAAATATCCATGTACGACTAACAGAAGATGAACAATACTGAATAAGTCATGAATTCTTGTCATGTGAATTACCTCGAGCAGGCTTGATTCAGCTGCGCTAGTCCTGCATCAATGAGCGCCAGATGAATCAGACGTCCAACCTGCGGCATACTCATCATGGATTGGTCTGGTACCTCGGCTACTTCATGTAGGAAAATGCCTGGAATGGCTGCCTCGTACTGGAGACAAAATGAGAATGAGATATCATGTTATTAACTTTGCTAACTTATGACTTGACATCCATCACCAATTTGCTCTTTTTACAGGGAAAAACAAAAAGGTGTTCAGTTTGTCTACATATTCATGAATACATATCTACTTTTCTTAAATTAGATACTTATTCATTTTCAAATTTTATGAACATGGTGCAAATGTACATGCTTCTATGCATATGGGTTTCTATATCGTCTACATGTACATATATTACCCTCTGTTGGTGTCTTTGGAGAAGTGCCAGGCAACCTCATAATTTGTTCACATAAAAAGCCTTTTTCATAGAAAGCATTTAAACACTACTTGCATTTGACTTAAAACTTTGACTTAAAAGTATTCATGGCTTGGTAATGAACCTTCCTCTTTTTTTGGCCAAACCAAGTTGCGAGGCGCTGCATACTATTATCTCCTATCCACACAATGCCAATCCCTTTTCAGATTTCTAAGGCACGCGTTCATTGCTTTTAACAAGATCGGTCAACGTATTATTCCCTGGCTTTAACGTTCAGCCTGACAGGTGTACCATTCAATCAAGTAAACCAATGCAATTAAATTGAACTTTTTACATAATGTAAACACTAGCTTTCAGAGATCATGCCAGATTGAGCCCCATCAAACTCTAACAGTCTCTACATGTCTATTGACAGGTGATAAAGTCTCCAGATGTCAACAAAGTCAAGCCATTTCCATTCCTTGCTAAATCCTTTAATACCCGCAATGGCATTTGGGACATTTAATTAAGACACTTGATATGTTTTTTAACCGGAATCGACGTCTCAGCTCACAAGGAATTTATTGCTTTCAAGGAAATAAAATGAGTGACGGACAAGGTTTGAAAAAAAAAAATCATAAAATTCCATATTATAATACCAACAATCTTGCCTTCGGGAAGTGTTCTAATCGTGCCTCAGGCTACAGAGTCTCACATATTGTATTCCTAAAACTTACTTCTGTCAGTAAATAGAAGAGTCGTTTTGGGAAGAATTCTGGCATGAACTCTTTCCATAGTTTTCCATTCTTTTTTGTCATATCAAGGGTTAAAGAAAATTCTTTCTGGAAAACAGCTGTGTCACTGACAAAATGAGAACAGTCACCACAGAAGAAATATACCTTTACGTGTATATCACTGAATACTGCCTGTTTAAATTCCATTCCTAATATCTACAGATACCTATCTCTCAAACAACACAGAAAGTTGCACAATTAAACAAACCTTCCCACTGTACTTTCCTGGCTATAACACACTCCATCTTACTTAACAAGAGACATTAAGTTAACCAGAAATAAAAGCTCTTGGATTTGTGATGCAAATGAAAAGAAAATGATCTTGGAGGTCCTAATAAGGTAACAATGAGACCGCACGGCCACCCAACTTATTAAGAGCATTGCAACATATGTTCCTACAAATCACTACCGACAGTAAATTACGTTTCTTGCAGATTTCGAACCCATGGTATAAACCTCTAAACACACAGATATTACACTGAGGCCTGTTCCAAATTTGATGAATTGCCTCTCTGGTTAGAGATTGAGAAGTTAGTTTGTGAAGCTGAAATGGACCCGACGCATCAGTTCCAATTTGTATCTCCCTTAGTCATTTCATTTGTGGGAGTGTGGGTGTGTGCTTGGTCTCATTGCTCTGTGATGGTACATCAACTAACCATCCCAAATAGAGTGACATTGCCTTAAGCATGTTAAGGTCATCTCCTTGTGGCCTGAGGCTAATGGTCACATCTGCCTTGCTGACCATTCAGACTGGCTGTGATAAGGAATCATCTGCGTAACCATGAGGGATCCTGCGTAACACAATCAACCCTCAACTTCAAGCTAGCATCTTCTACAATTTACGTACAGAATGGGTTGCTGTTTTCTTGCTCCTGGATTACAAAGTCACATGAAAGTAACCCAGGACAATGATAAATTTAAAAAAAAAAATAATGAAAATTTGAGGATGCTTTTAGCTGATAAAAAGATTCATCTTCTGTTCATGTAAAGTGACAGATGTGAAAGGAATCACACTACAAAGACTAAATACAACGACATCCACGAAAAGTTTGGAGAGACAATATCAGGCCAGAACAGAAGGTAGAATGAATAAAACAGGACACATGAGGATGGGAATGTTTGAAATATGAAGACCGGCTGGATAGTGATGACTGACGATGAAAGCCAACGGCTGCGTCCTAAATTAAATTACATTTTTGTCTTCGGCTACAAATATACACAGGCCTCAGCATACCAGCATGTAGCCTAAAAATAACAACACCCCCAGCTATCACACATGAGACTCAATGACAGGTTTCCTATCCCCAGATTTCCTATGTCACCTTATAGTTATACACATGTATATCATCGTTCAGCATGAACAGTCTTCAGGGTAATCATGACACCTATCCATGCAAAGTCAGCGTAACAAGAAAGAATATCTCTGTAATTCTGAATTGACAATTTGCAATAAACACAAAGTTTGAAATAAGAAACAGTCAATCAGGTATGACACAAAAATACACATGATGTCACTGGAAAACCTGACTCAGTTGCTAGATGCAACACCTCTACAAATGAAACGAGACTTGACGGTGTAGATGAGGTGTGAATCCCACGATGCGAGTCAGGCTTGAGAAGACACCAAATGACTTTTGAGTACTTGTGCAGAACATTCTTAAAGATCAAGGTCAAGGTAATTTTCTACAAGAGTTGTTGCCAATCAATTCTGCCTTGAATATGTATGTAGTTTGTATCTTGTACTCAAATCTGTGTAAAGATTTTGGAAGACCGGATAACCCAACATTTACCCAACGGTATGCTCTTTTAAGTTCTGTTGAATCTAACTTGACAAAATTTGGTATAGAGAGCGCTCTTCTTGAAGCAAAAACAAACCGATGAAGCCAAATATGACCACGTCTTAGTCTTCATAACAATCTTACATCACTAATTCAACTTTTAATTACCTGGGATGCCATTCATCAACTCCAATAACAACAATTTATGGTTTCTTTTTCCTTTTAGGAATAAAATAGAATGTTTAAAATATAACTCTGCAGTCTGCTGTTGCAGATTTCATCAATAATCAAACATCTTGAAAGTTCTGCAGGTCATCACATAGATCTTCCTAAGCAGCCGGAATGTTTCAGGTATATGGTGATGATAATAGTGTCAGTAAATCAAACCATGCATCAAGCAACGAACGCCGCGATTACATAAATATTTAATCATGGCAGACTCGTCTCCGTGTCAAAACGAGTACAAGACCCAGAAAACTCTCTCCATGTTCTTAGGAATCACCAAAGAGGTGACAGGTGTTCCCGATTACCCCCCCCCCCCCTTTCCTCATACCTTGACCATTTTGTCAAGTACCACACTCACCCAACCTATCTCTTATAAATGAGATTCCTGTTTTATAAGCCACTTTAATTTGGAATTGTGACTAAGCATTTCAACTCTTCATAAATATTTCAGCATTTAATGATATCACTGTAATGTTCACCTTTATCTTAAGTGGAAAATTGCTCTATTTATCAGGGCCCCATAAAATAAATTATGTGTTTTTCATGGCTTGGATCTCCTTGAGTTCTATTTACACAGTATGATCTTGAGTTCTATTTACACAGTATTTAAAAAAATTCTATCAAAACTAGAAGTTGCTTCAAGTGATAAGCCTCAGAAACAAATGTGAAGCTTGATGTATTTCCCTGTGATGCAGCCTATGATAGTTCAGAACAATCAGTCTTTATTTAGGTGACTGCTCTATGTTCCGACACCCCTATGTTCCGACAACCTAGATTGTGTTACTCCCGGTTAGGGTTAGGGTTAGGGTTAGGGTTAGGAATAGGAATATGTGCAGTCGGAACATAGGGGTGTCGGAACATAGAGGTGTAACCTTTATTTAAATGCATGGCAAACCAAAAAAAAATATAAAAAATACATGACAAATACACAAGATGCTCAAGTGGGTGTTCTAACGGGACAAAATACTGATCAAGATTCATCCTGACATCATCCGATGACTGATACCTCATTCCATAGCAAACAGGGCTTCGCAAAGTCCAAAACAACAACGTGATAGTCTCTTGACTGATTCAGTATTTACTATTTTTGTTCAGGAGGTTGTCATGGTAATCTGGTGAGTTGAAAAGTGCAGGAAGAAAGATGCAAATGATGACTGGGAGGTAGAGCGCTCGGAACTCTGAGGCAAATGTGACAAGTGCAGGGCACTGGGTCTCACAAGCATTATTCACATTTGAACAGTTTACACAGAAACCAACTACACAATACAACAGCAGCAAAAATCTAGAGTCAGACACTCAGTCCATGTTCCCAATCATCCCATCCATATTCCAAATTTCTGAAAGTCTACACTTCAATGAGCATAGTTTCAAGATAAGAAACAGGTAACTAGAGACAAAAGACAACTACACATGATTACCATCATGATTGATTGGCATCATTAAGATTAATGTAATCTGAGAAATATGAGACAAACACCTCATGAGCTGTGGATTGTTAAACTATGGAACATGATCCATATTGTTGCATTCAGTAGTTAGTCTTCAAAGATGAGTGAGTGAACTCTTTTAGTCAATATACTTTTTCCCCCGAGTTGCTCGGAGCATCATGCATCATAAAAGCGCCATCTGTGCCGACTTCACAACCCATTTGCAGAAGATAATCTACACAGTGATCGATTCAATCAACTCTAAACCCAAGTTGACAATCATGTCTACAAAACATCAGACTAGATGTACCAGTACTAAAAGAGGAAAGTGTTTTTGACAACTTGACACTTCCGGATACATGTGCCGAAGGGAAAGACGCAGGTTTTGACATTTGTGACTTGTAACGTCACCAGCTGTAAGGTCATTAACCCCTGTATCTGATTTGTGGGATAGGACAGACTGTCGGTATTCATCATCATCCAAGTGCACAAGCACTGTTGTATTTCTTTCTTTGCAAGTAGGAAGAGGGA